GACAGGATAGCTAGTTAGGAGAGTCAAGCAGTCTATTGAAAAATGTATTATATTTATAGCAACATTAGCTATTAGAGATGTTAGTGTTTTGTTTCATAGTTACAAATGCATAGTACTTTATATCTAAGCCCAGCAAGGAGGTTTCAGCCTTTGTTGTCTTGTTTGTGAGTCAGTCAGTAGCATTCAACACTTTTTTAGGCCCTGGATAGAATATGGAAGAAAAAATGTTTTGTTCTCTTTTTACATCTAAATATCTATAATATTCAATAATTTATCAACATTTTGGCAATCCTATTTTTTTTGTCATCCCCTAACAAATTCCTTAATATCACCCAATATCCTAGTGTATGTTCAGACTTCCCTGATTATCTAAAAAATGTATTTTTACAGATCTTCTTGATTGAAAAATCATTGTATTTGGTTGATAAATAACACAAGTCTTTTTTATAACTCTCCCTCCCCAATTGTGCTATTTATTTGAGGAAAGTGGGTGACTTGTTTTGGAGATTTTTCTATGTTCTGGATTTGGCTGATTACATCTTTGATGTATCATCTAAATTGCTTCTTTGCTCCCTACGTCTTCTAAACTGGTAGTCAGGTCTAAAGCTTGATTCTATTTAGTTTTTGTTTATTTATTTATTTTTTAATTTAAGGAATATAGGAAGAATACTTACTAGGTAGAAGTGTGTATTTCCTACATAGCACATTAGGAGGCATATATGCCACTTTGGTGTCTTATACTTCTAGTGATGTTAATTAAGATTTATCATTTGGTTACTGTGTTCTTAACCCAATCTATATCCGTATATTCCCATATATATTCCACCATCAACCAACCTTTCATCATGCTTTTTAGCAGCCAGTGATGATTGTTGCAGGAAACCTTTGTATCAGTAGGGTTGGAACAAGGTGATATTCTTTTTTTTTTATTAAAGACATTAGAGTTTTTACCAAGAAAAGAGGTGACATTCTAATTCTTTCTTTTCTTCTGTGTTTATTTACTGGAGTTTTTCTGTAAAAAATAACTTACCCGGCTGGGCGTGGAGGCTCATGCCTCTGGGAGGCTTAGGCGGGCGGATTACTCGAGGTCAGGAGTTCAAAACCAGCCTGAGCAAGAGTGAGACCCCGTCTCTACTATAAATAGAAAGAAATTAATTGGCCAACAAATATATATAGAAAAAATTAGCCAGGCATGGTGGCCCATGCCTGTAGTCCCAGCTACTCGGGAGGCTGAGGCAGGAAGATCGCTTGAGCCCAGGAGTTTGAGATTGCTGTGAGCTAGGCTACGCCAGGGCACTCACTCTAGCCTGGGCATCAAAGCGAGACTCTGTCTTAAAAAAAAAAAAAAAAAAAAAAGGCCGGGCGAGGTGGCTCACGCCTGTAATCCTAGCTCTCTGGGAGGCCAAGGCAGGCGGATTGCTCAAGGTCAGGAGTTCGAAACCAGCCTGAGCAAGAGCGAGACCCTGTCTCTACTATAAATAGAAAGAAATTAATTGGCCAACTGATATATATGTAAAAAATTAGCCGGGCATGGTGGCACATGCCTGTAGTCCCAGCTACTCGGGAGGCTGAGGCAGAAGGATCGCTCGAGCCCAGGAGTTTGAGGTTGCTGTGAGCTAGGCTGACGCCATGGTACTCACTCTAGCCTGGGCAACAAAGCGAGACTCTGTCTCAAAAAAAAAGAACTTACCCTTATTGATGATTTGGTTATCCTGGAATATTATATACAGACTAGGTGTATGCTTGATTCTTTTGTTTTATTTGCTAGTTTTGAGAATAATGAGGTTTTTTAAAAAAATTGTCGTATACTTATGAATTTATATATTTGATACTTTACAGTCCATTTACTATTTAAAAAAAATGCTCTGATTATCCTGTGTTTGGCCAGCAGGAGATCCTTTAAGTTGGCACCTGTGTCCTTTTGATGTGTCCCCATTCCCTATTTACTTTTGATAGATTTTTTGCTAAAATGTCCTAGCATCATCTTGAAATTTCTTGGTCAGACTTGAAAGTAGCCATTTTTTCAAGGAACTCAAGTTCAGAGAGATTGTTGAAGGAATAGGATTTTCACTTTGAGAAGCTATTAAAGAATAATGCGAGATAAAATGCAGTAAAATGATAGCAGTGTTCTCAACAATGTGTTTGGGCCTGTAAGTGCATAGGAAATACCATTAATTCCTGGAGTGTTTGGGTGAGGCATTTTCAAAGAGGTAAGACTGGATCTGGGCAATCACATAGGGGAAGAAATGAAGACTCATGCTCATTGCAGAGGGGAAATAGTGAGGAGGTGGAAAAGAACATGTGTGTGGGACAGTACAGGAGCTTGGCTAGAACATATGGAGTACCTTGACTGTGGTCTTGATCTTGTTGTAAGTACTGGGGAATAAGAGGACTTTCTTGCAATGGGGAGTAACATTGAAAATCATGCTTTAGAAAGGTTGCTCTTGCAAGAGCAAGTGACTTAAAGCAGTGGTTCGTAGCTGGGATTTGTAACATAATTGTTGAAAAATTAAACAAACTAAAAATAAATAAACATGCAAACAAACATAGCTGGGACCAAAAGTGTTGAATACTTGACTAGGGGAGTCTAGAATTGTTTGCTTTTCAAAAGACCCTGTGTGATTCTGTTTTGTACAACCCTGTTTAAGGACTTATTGGATCAAAGACTAAAAATTCAGAGAACGGTTCAGCTATTGCAGGTATCGAAGGCATGTGGTGTAAGGACATAGATTAAGATGTCAATCGAACTGAGAGAAAGGAAAGGATAGAATTTAAGATAGAATTAAAGCAAAGCAAATTTATGTCTTAACAGTTTACATATCATATTTCATTAATAATATTAATATTAATACAAGGATTCAAAGAGAAGGAACAAAGATGACTCCAAGATTTATAGTATGGGGACCTGGGAGAGTGGTGTCGATAGATATGGGAAGATTGGTAGAGATTGCTAGTTTGAGGGAGAAGATAATGGGTTTTTGGATGTGAGTGTTGAGATGAGGCCTGTATATCAAAGGGAACTCTAGGGGTTTGAAATATATTTTATGTCTTGCTTTTTCTGAATGCTTCATCCATTCTCTTTTGGCATAGTACTCAACTAGTGAATATAAGTCATGTTACGTTCATTTGGAGGGTTGATAATGTTAAGCTTTCATTTGATAAATAAAGTCAGAAAAAATTTGATAAAGAACTATTAGTTTAATGTAAAATAAAGTAGGAAACAGGCTAGAAAAACACCGTAGCAAATATAAAAAGATTAATATCAAAAATATTAGTCCAGGTGCAGTGGCTCATGCCTGTAATCCTAGTTCTTTGGGAGGCCAAGGTGGGAGGATCACTTGAGCACAGGAGTTTGAGCCAGCCAGAGCAACATAGCAAGACTCCATCTCTGCCAAAAATAGAAAAGTTAGCTGTACGTGGTGGTGTGTACCTGTAGTCCTAGCTACTTGGGAGGCTGAGCCCAGGAGTTTTTAGGCTGCAGCTATAATAGCGCCACTGCACTCCAGCCTGGGCTACACTGTGAGACCCTGTCTCAAAAAATAAATATATACGTATAATTATTTGAAACAAAGACAACAAAAACAAAAATCAGTAAATCACGCAAAGGACTTGATTTTTTTCCTTTTCTTTTGCTGTTTATTTTGCACAGATGGGTGGAGGCTGAAAAAGGCATCCACCCACGCAAAGACTTAAACAGATAATTCTCACAACTGGGACATATAATTCATCAATTCATTCCTTTAACAAACATTTACTGAGTACTTACATCAGGTACTGTTCTAAGTGCTAGCAAACATGACAGACAAGATCTCTGTGGTGACATAAGGGACAGACCATAGACACGTTCCAAAAAACAAGACTTTCAAATAGTGATAAATGCTATTGAGAAAATAGGGCAGCAAGGTATAAAAACTTTATAGTTTTTATTAGTACTTTGTTTTTGTTTTATTTATTTTGCTTTTTCCAGGGAATGCATTGGCAATGTTGTTCAGCTGGAGCATTGGTTAGCATTCCTAATCTCTACTTAATTATGTGGAAAAAAATTAGTCAGATTTAAGTTCTGTTGGGGTTCACTGGTAATTGGACTCATAAATACTTTTACTTTTTTCTTTTGTTTGGTTCTTCTTGAAGATGTTTATGTAATGGATAGAGTATAGATTTCTTCCTGACTAGAGAGATTGGTTGTTTCTTGTGGAAATTACTTATGTGGGTTCTTTTCACAGAAGTGATATCTTTGTTCTGTTGGGAGGGAAACTATTCCTCTGAAAAATGTTCACATTTTTCCTGTGGCTTCATTCAATAGTGAAATTTAGTGATTTGATTTTGCTGTGAGTCTGTGGGACATCTGATGGTAGGACCTGGGTCTCTTGGTACCTTTTTTGTTCATTGTAGAAGGTGGTTGTGAGGGTCAAATGAAATACATATGGAAGGTATTGTTCTTCAAGTTAAAGGAAATCACTGTGTAGTTAAAGCACTTGGCTAGAACTAACCTTTGTCCTTTGCTGTTTAATTATATATATATCATGTAACCAAATGTTTCAAGCTATAATTAAAGTATAGAAAGTTCAATGTAATTTTTTTTTTTTTTAACTTTCCTCTTCTACTGGATCAATGTAATTTTTGAAAGAAAAGTAGTAAGTGGTTTGCAGATGGAAAGTTGTCTGTTAAAGGAACTTCTTCAACAAACATTTTGTGTTTTTCACATATTATAGAAGATTGACCTAGAACACAGAAAGCGAGATAGATGCCTATTTATATTCTTTATTAATAAGTTCAGGGATTTTTTTTAAGTATGAGAAAGATAATAGAATAGGAAAAAAATTTCAGTCTTTAATTTTTCTGTTTTGGTAATTTATTAAGAATATAAGATATGCAGGGGGAAAGTGGGATGAGGTTTTTAGAAATGGAAACAGAAACAACATAGTAGCGCTTTAGCTTAAGTTAGCCCATACTTTTCTTTAATTTTGACTATGTTGTATGGAATTTTTTTCTTTTTAAAGGAAACTTGAATATAACTTCAAAGGAAGATTTGATTTTTTATTTGTGGATTGCGTATATATAACAAGGCCATCAAAATGTCGGGAGCCTCAGTGAAGGTGGCTGTCCGGGTGAGGCCTTTCAATTCTCGGGAGACCAGCAAGGAGTCCAAATGCATCATTCAGATGCAAGGCAACTCGACCAGTGAGTACATGTTGTTTTCTGTCAATTATATGTCTTACCTTCCCTTTTTCCCCTCCCTTCTCTTTTTGCTGTGAACAGAATAAATAAATATTTGTGTGTGAAATTTGTGTTCAAACGTGTGTTTGAAGTTTGCTATTTTGAACGATCCATTGGATATTTTCCCCTCTGTCATATTTGCTGCAGTATATGTCAATATGGACCATTTATTTTACTACTTGCAATTGAGAAACCATATATAACTGAACTAATTTCGCTAGTGTTAATGCTCATTAAGTTGAAATCTTAATGATAATAAAGGTGGAAACAGTGATTTTTACTAAATCCTAATGTGATGAAATAATACCTATTGGCCCCAAGATTCATTGTTTTTCTTTCTTGATTTTATATAGGACTTGAGCTTACCAAGATGGTCTTAAAACTTACTCTTCAGTGGTTCTTTGTGTTGAACAATGGATATAACTATAATATATTTTAAACTTGTGAATTACTGCTAAAATTATCAGTCATTTTTTTCTTGGCTTGTTTCTCTATAGAATTGCTTAGGTGAAAAATGTCTTAGGCAGATTTCTTTTGTACCTGCACTACTATATTACTTGATATGGGTCTGTAGGCAAATTATTACTCAAAATAGAGATAGACTCTGCTGACTTTAAATTTGTAGTTTTGTGATAAAGCAGAATCATCACTCTTTCAGACACAGTTACTGCTGAAGTAACCATTCTCACCTCATCTGCTTGTGCACCATTTGCTAGTGTTCTGTGTGCAAAGGAGTCTTCCAGTGGGAAATGTTTATTCCACAAAAATCTAGCTAGATATTGTAGCCCACATTTCAGGTAGTTCATGTGTAACTTTGAACATTCCATTGCTTATACTCTTCTCTGAACTTGTTAGATAGGGCTTAAAACGATCTTTTTTAAAAAAAGATTCAAAAGTAGGGTTCTAAATGGCTATATCATTGTGTTTTACCTTTCTTTGTCAATCATTGTGCCAAAATGATTCTGTGCATTATATCCTATGAGTAATTGTCAAAGAGAGATGCGAAGGTCAATATTGAATTGTTTCCTGTAAATGAGTGAACTTTGTGTTATATAAATTATGTCTCAAGGCTGGGTACAGTGGCTCATGCCTGTAATCCCAGCACTTTGGGAGGCCAAGGTGTGTGTGTGGGGGTGCAGTTTCCTTTAGAACAGGAGTTCAAGACCCTGTCTCTACAAAAAAAAAAAAAAAAATTTGATGTGTGCCTATAGTCCCAGCTACTCAGGAGGCCAAGGTGAGAGGATTGCTTTGAGCCCAGGAGTTTGAGACCAGCCTGAGCAACATAGGGAGACCCTGTCTCTATTTAAAAAAAACAAAAAACAAAACCCTCATTAGATGAATCAGCCTTGAAAAAATTAGGATTAGTTTTTTACCTAAATATTTAACTTTGTCATGGAACAGAGATTTGGGATCATTTGGTTCCTGAGTTATATGATCTTGGAAAGCAGCTAATCACATGAGACCTCTCATATCTATTGTATGTGAAACTTTTTCCTCTAGAATATTTGGCATTTTGTTCTCTATTTAGGTTTTCTGTTTCTGTTTTTGATCTTCTATGGCAATTTTGTAATTTGACTAATATGTAATCCAAATAATTTTTCAGTGAGAGATTTTAAATGAAGCATGTGTATGAAAGATGCTATGTTTAGAAAGTATTAATAGCTTGTTTTAAAAAAAACCACTGGGCTTAGATTGGAAGAGTGCATGCATTTCCAACATAGAATTGTTGGAAATTAATATACTATAGCCACATGTGTTGCTTTAAAAAGACTGCTATGCTGGCAAGCTGGCCTGTGCTGCTCACAAGGATTATAGCTGATTGCAGATGGAATGCAATGGAATGTTCCTACCATAAAGTCTCCTATGAAAAAGTAGAAGAGTATGAAGAGTACTTTCAGGAATGTGCCAAATCTGAAAACTGAGTACTAGCCATTTTATTTAAGCACTTTGTGGTCTCGCAGGAAATATTTTCTACGTCATGGGTAAATGTTACTGCCTTGACATTTTGGAGTCCTGAGCACATATAAGTGGCTTTGTTCAATAATATCCCATTATATTCCAAGTTTCTCCCACTTTGGAAGCATTTCTTATTGTCTGATTACTTTGTAAAAAGGAAAATGGGGCAAAGTTAATGATCTGACTGCTCACATTTATGGTTAGATTATATGTGTAAACCTGGAGACATTGAACCTGCATAAATTCCCTCAAAACAGGTGGATAAAGTTGGCTTTTACTTATGATGTGATATATACTAATCAGGTGATTAAACTATAATATTTTGCTTTGTCTTTAACCATAGGGTTCTGTCTCTTGTCCTTTGGTAACTCTCATTCGTATATTTATCAATCTTCCCTTGCCCAGGTTATCTTTTTTTCCAGTGCCCAATCTTAGTGGGATAGAAGTAACCCTGATTTTTTTCCTGTTTATTGCTTACATTTTATGTTTTTTAAGGCTTTTTCATTCACAATGTACATTTCTAAACCAAATATTGTACCTCATAATTAGTACAAAGAATAAATTCATGTCCACTGTTAAAAATTTGGGATAGAAGAAGGGCAGGGACAAAATGGAGATTTGGAAAAGAAGAATTTAGAAAAGAATGCATTTAAATTTATATGCTTTTACTAGTATAAATGTAACAGCATGAAAATAAATGTAAAAATATATAAATTATCTTTGTGAACATTGTGAATAATAAAGAGGCAGGAAAGAAAACTCTCCTCTATTCTTACCTCTTTAACCATAGCCTACTTCTGCATTCTGTTGGATGTTTTTAAGTTTTTTTTTTTAATTGCTATGTAACAGTTGTACGTATCTTTGGAGTACATGCGATAGTTTAAGACACATCTACAATGAATAATGATCAAATCAAGGTAATTAGATATTCATTACTTTAAACATCTGTCCGTGGATTGGGAACATTCCAATTCTCCTCTTCTAGCTGTTTTGAAACACACAGTAAATTTGATGGATTTTTGTTGTTCCAATGTGGTTTGATGGTTGGTCTTTATGTAATTCCGTATTCCAGTCTTGTTAGTTTTAGTTTTTTGTTTTTCTCTGATTTGTATTGACTAATTCTCACTTTAATTTCAGTCTGTGTTTCTTTTTTTGGGATCCATGGATGGAATTTTGAGTATCTGTGAAGGTGGGAACCCCTTGAAATTATGTGCAAAATCTGTTTCAGCATTTTCCTAGGGAGAGGGCAGTCATTTTTAACACACTAATTTTAAAGAGATCTATGTTCCAAAAGAAAGTTAAAAATCACTAGCTTAGGCTGGCGTGGTGGCTCACGCCTGTAATCCTAGCAATCTGGGAGACTGAGGTGGGATGATTGCTTAGGTCAGGTGTTCGAGACCAGCCTGAGCCAGGAGTGAGACCCCCATCTCTACAAAAAAAAAAAAAAATTAGCTGAGCATGGGGGCAAGTGCCTGTAGTCTCAAATACTTGAGAAGCTGGGACAGGAGGAGAATTAAGTCTCCTTGAGTTTTTTCCAGGATAACCTAGTACATAATTAAGTTAAATCAGACTATGGTATAAACTCCATCACATAGTATCCAAAGTGCTTCACATTGTGGTCCAAGAAGAAGGCCAGCTCTTCAGCTACTACTACTCTACCTCCATACCATATACTCTAACCTTAGAGATACAATTTCCATGTGTTTTTTTTTAACCTGCCTCTTTTCAGGATTCATTCAGAGACCTGCATATCTCACTCATACTCAATCATGTGTCTTTCTTTAACTCTACAAATGCTTTACATTTTACTGAAAATAACTAAAAACTGCTGAAGATTTGGGCATTTCAATTCCTCACAGCAATGTTTTTTCTTATTGCAAACTGAAAATAGCCCTAGTATCCATCAGCAGGGGACTGAGTAAATATATCAGGGTACATTTACAAAATATAATATAGCAAAGAGATGAATTTCTATACACACAAACATAAATCATACTATACAAGGAAGTTACAGTGCAAACTGTATTTTGTTTACATATATCTCAAAACATGCAAAATTCTTCTCTATATTCTTTATCTCATACAAATGTGGTAAAAATATGCAGAAAGATAAGACAATGATTACAAAATTCAGGATAGTGGTGCCTGAGGGGGATGGTGGACAGATCTGAGAGGGTCATGTTCTGTAACTGATGGGTGGGTACTTGGGGTTTTGTTTCATTGTTATTGTTTGTACTCTATATACATTTTATAAATATATTTATTATGTATCTACCAAGTATTTAAAAGTCTTATTCTTGCTAATAGAGATGTTGTATACTCATGCCTGTGTGGGCCAGGGAGCAGGGCTTACCATATCACAAGTACAAGTCCTACCCTCAGCCTGCTCTTCCTGAAATTTTCTAGCCACTTTTTCACTTCTTCCTTTTCCAAAGAGAGGATCTTTTTACGTAACACATTTACATTGATTGATTAAATGACTCTCATTTAGTCACTGGAATGTAAGAAGGTAAATAAGAAGACAATAAAGAGGTTTATACAGGTCTAGATATCACAAACTGCTGGCATAGTCCCTCAGCAGTGGCACGGTGGGGAAGACCGAGATCTTCAAGGCCACCCTCCCCGCCCCCCTTTCTTTTTTGAGACAGAGTCTTGCTGTGTTGCCTGGGCACGAATGCAGTGGCAACATCATAGCTCACTGCAACCTCAAACTCCTGGGCTCAAGCAATCCTCCTGCCTCAGCCTCCTGAGTAGCTAGGACTACAGGCACATGCCATCATACCCATGGCAGCAATAAAAATATTTTATATGCCACTTACATCTAAATCATAGAACCAAAACCCACAGGCAGCCTCCTCCCCTTTTTGCAATATAAGAAAAATATATCCTGTAATCCTAGCACTCTGGGAGGCCGAGGCGGGCGGATTGCTCGAGGTCAGGAGTTTGAAACCAGCCTGAGCAAGAGCGAGACCCAGTCTCTACTATAAATAGAAAGAAATTAATTGGCC